TCTGACTTTCAAATTATGAAAACAGTCTCCATGTTCCTTCAAGGGGGCTGAGAACTCTTGAAAGGAGAAAATCGTTGTAACTGGGGACAGAACTCAAGTAACTTATGCCTCATTGAAGCATAAAAAGCAAAATGGCTGACTCCACTCAAAACCCAATGACTGTGAGCATTACTTACCCATCCCACTCCTAGAGTGCACGAGGCAATCCTTTCCTACAGTTTAACTGGAAGGAGAATTAGAGTGGAGCAGCCACTGAGCATATTCACAGCCAAGGTCCTCCTATGATGATAATTAATATTTTCTCACTTGTAGCTTTTGTCCATTAGAAGATTAAAGGCAAACCGTCGTCGTGGTTTCGCTATAAAAGTGCTATTCCACTATAAAGGAAAAAAAGCAAAGCATGGAAGGACAGCAGTAATTAACTTTCCCAAGTAACATAAACAGACAAATTTGAGGTAATGAAGAAGCAGTTCAGCACTAAACCACTGGCTGTGCTGAGAAAGAAGTCAGAAGACAAAGGGAACATGGGAGCAAGAAGCTTTCAGTCAAAGACCGAGTAAATCGTAATAGCCCTTTGCATACCTACAATGGGCAGACTGTGCATTTATAACAAAATATGGCTACATAGCAAGCCAGAAATAAGCATAGGATGCAATGATTTAGCAATCATGTGTGCATTCTCTAATAAAGAGAGCTGTTAACACCCTGACGAGTTTATTGTTTTTCTAAGCAGCTTCCAAAGAAATCATACTCAATAATTTGAGATTTCTGTGAATCCTATTAGCATGTGGGATGACTATAACGCCAAAGGTAACTGAAATGTGTCCTTCTCTTTCTCTTGCCTATATCTGCAGCCACTGAAAGAGATGGCAAACGTCCCTAAAGTGGGTTTGTAGGCCAGTGGTGTTTGTTTTGTTATTTCTCCAAATGTTATCTGTTCCCATGCACAGAACTTACCAGATGACTGACTGCCAAGATGCTTCCTGGAATTTGCATGGACTAAGCTGAAGGATGCAGCCTAGATCCTTTAGCAGGGACCGAGCACAAACCATGTTATCCATCTTCTAATTCCAGTTGCGTCTGTGTGAGGATGTTCTTCGTGGAAGTGAGAGGAAGCCAGGGCACATCTCTCCCCAGCACTCAAGGCTTTCTCCTTGCCTCCGATGTGTCCAAGGGGGTGGGGGTCACTGGACAAACACAACCCTTTGGCCAAACTCTGCAAGGGCAATTTCACCCGTAACCAGAGAGCTAGTCAAGTTGTCAGGTTCCTGACAGCCCATTAATCATTCACTCAGAGCAGGGACCTGAGCCCACAAGCTGCTAGAGAGTGAGGAATCTTTGCAATTTGTCCTGCCGAGAACTGCCTGCTGCCACCCCCATCACCGACCCACAGTCACGTGATGGCCAAGGGCTTTTTCAAACTATGCTCGGAATCTCCCCTTTCTCACTCTGCCGTATGAGCTGCAGCGGGACTCCGGAGGGCGGCGGCTTGTTTCCACGGCTGCTTTGGATCAATGCCAGACTTTGGACCAGAGGCCTGAAAGGATGTTCCAATTTCCATGTGAATGAATTCCATCTGTGTCAGCCAAACACTGTCCACTTGCCAGTTTCCAGCCAGTGATGTGCCTAATGCATATTAGGTGCTCTAGGAATAATAATGATAGAAGGAATGACATCATAATAACTCCCAAGGTAGTTGATAAGCCTGCAGAAAGAGGGTGTTTAATCCCTGTTAAAGGATCTTAAGGTTGCTCCAAACATCTTAGGAAGCTGCTGCTTATTGGAGGAGGCCATTCTGGTCTAGAAGACTAAGACAAAACGAGGCAGCTTCACGTCTCCAATCTGTGTTCAGTGGCACTGTGTATGGTCCGGTAAGCGGCACCTGAGGGGCCACCTCAATTCATGGGGAGCAGGGGGAACCCTCTGGCATAATGATGGGACCATTGAACCCTCTTCCTTCACAGTGTAAATGGAGTGACCAAAAGCCGGCTTACTGGACTTTGTTTGGACGGTCCATTTTTAACGGCATAAATACATTCTCTGTTTGCTCCATCACCAAGAGTTTCGGGTACGATTCACTTTGCCATTCTGAGGACTGGTTGTCCCAAGTCCATGACTGAGGGTGGGAAGGCCCTTCACCTGCAGGTCAGCCACTGGCGCCTTTGGTCACACTGAGCTGCCAAGGGGAGAGGGGCCACGTCAGCCCACGGAGGTCTATCGGTGATGCTGAATACAGCCAGGAAAACTGTATCCCTTAAGAAAGGGAGAGAAGCACCAGCACCATCTGGGCACAAATTCCTGTGCTCGGCACTCAACTGTAAACACAAGGCACACCTTCAAATTGCTACTGGTTTTGGGCAGCTTTAAAACGTGCCGTTTTTGAAGAAAGCTCAGATCAATGGCTTGCAAACCCTTAAAGGAAGGAACATTTCCTTAATCCAAAACCACTGTGCAATGCAAGGGAAAGAGATGCCATAGGAGATAGCTATTATAACTACGAAAGGATGTATTTGGCTGGAAAGGCCATGGGTCAAGACCAGGAACAGGACTGCATCTCTGCAGGTGAAACATGATCCGAAACACAGGGGAACAGCTGCTTCCCCTTGCAGGAGAATTTGCCGATCAACCTCTGCCAAGGTAAGAAGGACTGACTCCTTTGCAGGGAGCAGAGCCCAAGGGGTACAAGGGGTTCCCTCCAATCCCTTCACTCTTCACCATCTTCTTCATGAGAAAAAAAGTAGGGAATGGACTCCTGCATGCAAGGTCGGTGGGAACAGCACAGGAGACACCTGGACATTCTGCCCAGTAATTGCTCTGTGTGTCTGGCATCTGGTGGATTCTGTGCAGTTTGGCTCGGGGAAGAAACCCGCAGTTTGGACTGTAAGTGGCAGAAATCTGCACACGTGGGACTTTCATAAAAGAATAGAAAATTAATTTCACTTTCTTAACTTCCCAGAAATGCTAGCAAAAGAGGGTGGGGGGAACCCCCTTGCCCTGGGAACCTTCAGCGGTGAGATGTTTTGCTCCGTCCACCAACAAGGTATTTTTAAGCGGCAGCTTCTCTGAGGGTCTTATAAATACAATGCCCTGCTATACCGTATGCAGCTTTATCATTTCAGTTTTGCGTGATGCATTTTTTTAAAAAGGGCCAGGAGGAGAGGATCATATGAGATGCTATATCTTCATTTTCCTCTGGAGAATGATGGAAAATATTCCACCAAAATCTGCACAAACTGATGCTGCCTTGCTGAATTCTAATCTGGAATGCATTGCAGGCACATCCTAACTGAGGTGAATTGCCTAAACGGCTCTACTTAAAGCTTGGCTGCTAAGCTTACATTGTCACAGATGTCAGTGGACAGAACACAGGAAATGTGAGGAAACGGGCAATCCAGCAATGTTTTACCTTCATAAAAAAAGAATGCCAGTGCTATGAGACAATACCCACTTTAAAATATTTCAAAGCCTGACACAAAGCGGATGGAGAACAATGGTTCTTTTGTGCTCTGTGCTTCTAAGCACACAGAAAATGATAATGCATTTGAAAGGCAGAGAAGTAGACTTCCTAACAAAAAATGAACACCGAACCCAACCCTAATCTCAGAATCACTGGGCAATGTACTGTTTTACGCCCAGCCTGTGGAGTCCAGTGAAGAAGGAAGCTAAAGGCGCACATGTGGTGTGCAGCCTTCCCGTTGAAGTGAATGGGGGAGAATATTTGCACCCTGAATGAAGGCAGGGCTCCTAATGTGAGGCAACAGCCATTCTTTTGCATGATATCTTGGAAAACACGGTGACGAAAAGCAACCCATCTTGGATAAATATGCCGACTATCTTAATGAAACTAGACAACTTGAAAGCAACAGGCAATTTTCACACATTCCCGGGATGGGAGGATGTTACTGTCCAGATATACTTCGAAGGACCAGAATGACAGCGTCACAAGTGTGACTGTGGGGGGAAAGCCCCAGGGCTGATCACCACTCAGGATTTCATGCTAATTTTTATGGCAACACTTCTTCTGTATAAACAACCGGTAACCTGTGGAACAGGTTTAGTCTCTTCAAATGAGCTGGGACTCCTCAAACATTGTCACCATGATAAGAATGACAGAAAGGCCAGTTTGGCTGCTGGGGGTGGATCATGATGACTTTTTTTAAAAATAAGTTTTATTTGAAATTATAATCCTAAAAAACAAAGAAAAACTAAAAACAACATCAACCATCAAAAACATCGAGCCTGCTGGGCCAGCCCCCACATCTTTCTTTTTCCATTTATGATAACTTAAAAACATATTTAAATCTATGCAAAGTCCCATTTCTCTAGCCAATAATAACAAAAGTCCCAAGTTTGATAGAAGTCAGTATCTTCCTTCTCCTTCAATGATAAGGTCAATCTATCTGTTTCTGCAAAGTCCAGGATCTTTTTTAGAATTAGTTCGTCGGTGGGTAGTTCTTCACTTTTCCAGTGTTGAGCAAATGCAATCCTCGCCGCAGTGATTACATGTAAAGTCGGATACATTTCTTGTTTACTAATGTCCAACGGAATAATGCTTAATAAAAAAACTTCGGGTTTAAAAGCTAAAGGTTTTTGTAACATTTCCTCAAGCCATTTATGTATTTTAATCCAATACTTTTTCACGTTATCACAAGTCCACCACATATGATAAAAGGTACCCAATTTATGTTTACATTTCCAACATCCATTTGACGTATTTGGAAACATCTTAGCTAACCTATTTGGCAACAGATAGCATCTATAAAACATTTTATACAAGTGTTCTTTATACAAGTTTGCTAATGTTACCTTAATATTGGTTCATGATGACTTTCTGCTACCCCACGCGGAACTGGAATGGGAGCTCCAGCTGCCAGGCTCATCATGTCGGTAAAACTGCTGCAATGTCTCCCGTCATCTACCCACCTCCACCAGCCTCTGTGGGACAACGCGAAATAGCCACACTCCTCCGTCTGCAAGGCAGGGCTGGTCCTGCGGGCAAGTCACGATGTTCTCTGTGGAAGGACCATTTGTTTTGCCTCCAGAGGAGCAGCTAAACTGGCCTGGGTTATCCCTGTATTTGACAGCTCGGGGCGATGCTGGGAGGTGCTGAAGGTCTCCACCTGCAGGTCTCCAGGGATGCCTCCACTGATTCCCTTTGGACTCCTTTGAAGCGCCACCTGCAGGGAGGGACCCACTTCGCCACAGGTGGATTTGTCCAGTGAACCAGTCGGAGGCCTTGGAATAAGCTGGGCTGTAAGAAAGAAGACGTTAGACATGGGTCTGTTCCAAAGGGCGCCATCCTTACCTGGCCCATTTCCTGTGCTTCTTCTAGTACAGCTGTTCCTTCTCCTCCTGGCCAGCCATCTGCTGCTGGTGCTGGGGCCTGGTGAACCATGCCGTGCTTAACCCTTTGCGCCCTTAGTAATGCCCTTGTCCTTCTCATTGCCACTTCTCCATTCCAGTTTTAATATATGTTGCCATAGAGGAAAAACAAGATTTGGGATTTCTGAGGAAAGAAAATGCTGCCCATTTGAAGGAGTCATCCAACCACCACAAGCCTATTTTTAGTGATGGACAAATGGATCCACTCATAATGAGCTTGGTTATTACAAGCGTTTTGGTGAGGGCTCTTTTACTGGGGCAGGGTGGCTAATAACTCTTTTTCTGTAGTGTCTGTTCTGCCTCATACAGCTTGATTCACTAACCTTGCGCCCCAGGTGCTCCTGCTCCTGGTTTTAACCGCAACCAAGAATTACTGACCCCAGAATCATAGAATCACAGGGTCAGGGAAATTACACAGCTTGCTTTGGTCTTTGGTTGGCTGGTATTCATTACACTGCACCCAGATACCAAAGTCCTCAATCTGGAATCTGCATTATTTATTACTGAAAAAAGCCAGAGCACATCATTCCAAGGGGCAGACTTTATAAAGCATGGCCTGAAAGAGAGATGGCGCTCAATTTACTTTTGTTGTGCTTGCTTTTCCACAAGTAAACATCCAAAATCTTCTTAGAAACTTGTGTGATTGCAAAATATGCCTGGGCTTAAATCAACAATGACAACATAGATTATTATTATCGGCTGGCAATAAGATACCAGGGGTGACTGGATTGGTCCCTCTTTCTCCCTCCCTCTCTCTCCCTAGCAACTGTTTGCATTTCCTCAGTGGATGTCGTGATGATCCAGGAGATCAGTGCGGAATCCTGCTGCGAAATTGCACCAGACTTCTTGATGAAACGCTTCGGCTCCCTCAGATTTTCTCAGATGTTGCTCTCAAGCAGGAACTTCCAAATTCATTTAGAAAATGAATTTCACTTTGGGGGCACATTCAGCGGCAATGTTTCTCTCAGATTCTATTTCTCATCCGTTCTTGGCTATATTTTTACCTTGATTTTCTCTACAAAGGAATCAGTATGGTTTATCAATTTTGCCCATAAAAATAAAAGTCTCCCATCCAGGTATTGTTGCATGATCCACAGCATATCAAACGGAAAATAGAATGTATGCTATCTGTGGATCCCAGGAAGGGGCGTCTGATAAAATCCTCCCTGAAAAAGGCACTGATGTTACTGCGCTCTCTCCCTCTTCATCCTTGCTATTCGCTTGCTGCTTCTGCCGAACAAGAGCTTTCCATCTAGCCTCAAAATTGTGTCCTAGACTAAGTGTGGTGCCAAAACTCTTAGTCCTTTTTTCCTGCCTGATTCCTACTTTCACACTATAAATGCACACACAAGTGCTTCCGACTTGACGCGGACTCTGTAACCAGCTTCACAAAAATAGGACCGCTCAGTATGATGGTTTTTTAAAAGGATCCTTGTGGATGTGAGCATGTGCCCACGTGAAGTAGAAAGTCTGGCGTATTTGCTTGGTTTCAGGTCTCCACGGTAGGGCCCCTTTTGACTCGGCTCAGAAGACCAAGCTTCTGCAGATGTGATGAGGCTCAATTCCCACCAGTCGCAACCAGCATGGCCAATGCCCTCGCGAACCAGGCATGAACGAGCTTGTGGACCAGTCCTGGTGGAGGTGCATGACTGTGGAGGCTACCCTAGGCAGTCCTCATCTTCCATGCATCCTGGCTGTATGCCGGTGAAGTAAACGTGGTGATTGCCAGAACCCCCAGAGCGCTTGACAAAGCCAGCAGCTTGCGGCAGCTCCAGGCAGGAAAGGAAGGGAGACGACAGCGATAGAAATGGCAAGGAACACTCGCTAGTGAGAAGGCCCTTATCGGAGAGAGAAGCCGGCTGGCAACTGAAGCCAGATATTACAAGCAGCTCTCCCACAAACTGTGAAGAGGGATGAGGAAGCAGTCGCTGTCTTGCAAACTTGAAACAAGGACATGTTTCCAGAGGCTCTTGCGGGAATGGAAAAGCCATATTCTTAAGAACATGGACCAAGAAGAAGGAGAGCAAAGTTATTTGTTGGCAAAAGCTGCCCATTGTATAACATTTCAAAAGAACAAGGCACCTGCCTGTGATTTACAAGCACAATGGGATTCTTCGGAGTAACAGCTTGCCAGAAAGACTCCTGACCTGGTGATACATCCCAGCACACAGGTTCTGGAATCAGGCGTCAGACTAGGTGGTTCAAGTTTGTACATGAACTGATTTATGTCCACCCTTTTCTGCTTTACAGGGGTAAAGTCAAAGAGGGGAAAAAATGGAACACTTGGAAGAAAGGCCTCACCTCTGGGCCTAAAAGCCGGGAAACGGTGATCCTACAGATGTCCATGTCTGGGGCACACGGGTCAATGAGCCACCCCAAAGCATGCAGCTCCCCTTGTGGGAATCTCACCTCCTGCATTGACAGAACAAGCAGACAAATGAAAACCCTAGTATTTGGTGCACTGGGGCTCCTTTGTGACCCCAGCTGAAAAAAGCTATATCTGAAAAGCTTTTATTCTCCTTGAAAACTTTCCCCCAGGAAGCTTCAATGACTATCAGCTCCCAGCAAGTACAGATGAATTAATCCTTTCTGAAGCAATGAAAAATGAGGAAAATTTCCCTATTGCCCTGCACCTCCAGCCCCGAACACACGCAAAGACTAAACCCTTGAAATTGTGGCCGCTGTGAGTGATTCTAGTGCCACGTGCTTTCGACAAACTGGTGGCCCAAGAGGGCTTAACCCCGTGCCCCTTTCTTAGTACTATTTGCACTGGAAAATTGGGCACTGGTTTTTAGAGGAAGGTGCGTCTGTGTGCGAATGTGGAGCTGACAGCACTCAACGTTTCCTAAATGGCCAGACAAATCGAGCACTTTGTAACAATTCTGGGGAAACTGATCAAACAGCTGCTGTGATTAGTGTTAACTAAGCTAAAGGATGAACATTTGGTTCAGTGAGAAGACGTGCTTCTAAAGGAATTTAGAAGCTCTGAGGAGGCTCTGCAACAGTGGGAAGAGGGGGCACAAGGTCTCATCCTAGAAAATGCCCCCGGGAATCCAAGTGCCTGGCGGAAGCTCAACTGGCACAAGGTTTTGGCCCACCCATGAGGCTGGCTGAAGCTCTTCTGTGTGTCTGATCCCACAGTTCCACCCAGCCGGCATCCCTGGTGGGTTGGCTCAGGAGACATAGGATGGGTTGGGACCAAACCGAGGCAGAATTTACTGGATCTGGGGCAAAACCTGGAAAGGCATCTGGCAGAATGTGGCATCCGCTGCTTTTCAGTCCTCTGTGATGCAGCACATGTTTTCTGGCCAGAAGTCAGGCTGCGTGGAACCAGGAAGTGCGGCCTGTTTGTGCAAGAGCTGCCACCGTTTCTGTCGTTCATGCATGTTTGTGCAAAGAGGGGAACCTCCACCCGTTCAGTGTGTGCATTTGGCCTTATCACGGACGTTTGTCAGGTAGCCAAACCTGATTGGCTTTGTGGTGTTGACCAGAAGCGGTGGGAGACAACAGGAAGTCGCGCATCCTCCGGGATGACTGTCCCACACCACAGGAAGCGTGTCTAGCCTGAGCCGTCTCCCTCCCTCACTCCCGCCATCCCTCTCAGTCCTCACCGCACCCTCCAGGACACGTACAAAGTCCGCCCACTGCACGAATGAAGAGGAGCACACCAGAGGGACCCGCCGCAGGGCCTCTGCAGTCACTGTCCACAGGCTGGCCTTTCAGAATTCATGCTCTTCTCCATGTGCCCCCGGAGGGATTTCATGCTGCACTCCTGCCAGCTCACCGACAGGGCTGCTGGGTCGCTTCTGGTGCAGAGGAGCACCACACAGTGACCGGGGGCTCAGGAGGGGCCCCCAGCATCGCTGCACCCCGTTCGTGCCGCACCGCTCGAGAAGGCGAATGTCCTCAATCACTCCAGCCTCCATCGCCCCCACGCCGCGTGAGTGGCGCCCTCTGTCATGCCCTGCAGGGTGCCAGGGAAGCCACCGATCCTGGCCTGCTGGGCTTCCCTGCCCCTGAGTGCTCAGCTCACACGCCAGCACGATGCTGCTCAAAGGGGCCCCTGTGCATTTTGCTGGGGAGGTGGCTGCCCGGCGCTTCCTCATGGGCCGCCTCCTGCCTCGCTGTCCTCCCTCTGCATCCCTTTGCCCGCTTTCACGTTCTGCTCCCCGAACTGGCAGCCTGTGCCCTCTGGCTTGGCGCTGGCATGCAACGGGCAGGCAGCAAGCTTCAAATGGCAGAGACACGTCTACCAGCAGCCAAAGTGCCCGGAACACGCTTGGAGGTTCTGGCGGCGGCAGGGCCCTGGATTTGCGTTTTTAAGAACAAAAGGAATAGAAGCAGGCTGCTGAACAGTGGGAGGGCTGCCAGACTGTGACCGGAGGCACAGAGCTGCCTGCAGGGTCCCGGGCCAGAGGCACTGCCGGCTCCCTGGAAGGCAGCCCAGCAGGTGGATTGATGGAGCGCCCCTGGAGCGGAGGGCGCTGGAGGCTCTCGGCTGCCCTTGAGGCTGGTGGATGGGCAGCCTGTAAACACGTCCCGAGTGCCCGGAAAGGGTTTTGCACCCGGTTATTGGTGGCTGAGTCCAGTGGCTATTTTTCAGCTCTGTGCACTCTGTCTTTCCAAGGTTTATTTCATGGGGTGTCATGTTGTATCAGCCCAGGTCAAGGAGGCTTAAGTTTGGGTTATGCAGAGCTTGGAGCCAGCTTTGTTTTACCGGTCCGAGTCGTCATGTGAGACGCTTGGCAAGCGAGGCAAAATGCGCCATGTCAGCCCCACCTGGAGAGCCACGGAGGCTTTGGGAGCAGCTGGCAAAGGCGCTTCCCGCTCCCCAAAGCCGCCACGACTCCTGTTGCGCTCGCTGCAGCT